GGAACCGATGTTCAGAGAGTAATGGTGGACACCGGGAGCAATGTGAACGTCCTTTATTTGGACGTGTTTGAAAAGCTAAAATTGGACAAGCGGGAACTGATTCCGGTCGGTGTTCCGTTGTCAGGATTTACCGGGGCCACCATTCGCCCCGAAGGAAAGATCGTGCTCCCGGTTGAGATCGGCACCCCACCAAAGTTAGTGAAAACAGAGTTGGAGTTCGTTGTGGTCAACCTTCATTGTGTCCACAACGTCATCTTAGGTCGACCTGCCATTATGAGGGTCGGCGGAATCATATCGATGCCTCACTTGTGCATGAAGTTCCCCACCCTTGCTGGGGTCGGAGTTGTGCGAGGCGATGTCCAATCGGCTAGGAAATGCTATACTCGGGCTATCAATCGGCATGATGCCGGTTCTTCCCGAGTGAACACCATTATCAAGGAAGCCGTCGGAGATCGAAAGGAACAACCCGAGCCCTCCGAAGAGATTGAAGAGGTTCCTTTATCTGAGGAACGATCGGATAGGAAGATCAAGATTGGTTGGGCCCTCACCCCCGAGCTACGAGTGGAAGTACTAGCGATCCTCCGGGAATTCGCTGATATATTTGCATGGGGGCCTGAAGACATGCCCGGGATCGATCGCACTATAATTTGCCACAAGCTAGCTGTAGATCCTACGGCGAAACCAGTCGTTCAGAAGACTCGGCATCTATCATCCGATCGCCGCGAGTTTGTCCGAGAGGAGGTGAAAAAGATGGCGGCCATTGGACATATCCGCCCGGTCACCTATCCCGAATGGGTGGCCAATATTGTACTCGTGCCGAAGCCTCCATCCTGGAGAATGTGCATCGATTTCATCGACCTCAACAAAGCATGTCCGCTCGATCCATACCCGCTGCCGAGCATTCATCAGATGGTTGATGAGACGGCCGGGGCCGAGCTCATGAGTTTCATGGATGCATTCAAAGGCTATCATCAGATAATGATGCATCATGAAGATGAAAGCAAGACAGCCTTCGTCACACCAGACGGGTTGTATTGCTACCGAGTGATGCCGTTTGGCCTCCGCAATGCAGGGCAACTTATCAAAGGATGGTCAATATGCTCTTCGAGGACCTGTTAGGCCGAACGATGGAAGCTTACATTGACGACATGCTGGTAAAGAGTCGGGACCGAGCTGACCACACTCGGGATCTCCGACAATGTTTTCATATCATGAGGAAATACAAGCTGCGATTGAATCCCAACAAGTGCACGTTTGCGGTGCAAACGGGAAAGTTCCTCGGCTACATGATGACAAAAAGTGGAATTGAGCCCAACCCCGCCAAGGTTAAGGCTATTCTTGATATGCAACCACCCACGACCGTTCGAGAGGTGCAACAATTGACCGGCAGGTTAGCAGCCTTGAGCCGTTTCCTTTCAAAATTGGCCGAGCGCGCCTTACCATTCTTCAAGGTATTGCGCAAAGTGAAAGGGTTCGTGTGGGATGATGAGTGCCGAGTGGCTTTTGACGAGCTCAAAGAATATTTGATGTCACCAATCGTATTGTCAAAGCCCAAGCTCGGAGAAGAACTGGATGTCTATCTCGCCGTTTCCGATCGAGCTGTAAGTGCGGTTTTATGCCGAACAGATTCGGAGGGAGTGCAACGACCGGTTTACTATGTGAGCCATGCGCTGCATGGTCCTGAGCTCCGTTACTCCCGGATAGAGAAGATAGTCTATGCTTTGTACATAGCGGCAAAGAAGTTGGCCCCCTACTTTCAAGGTCGAGCCATTCATGTGTTAACCGATCAACCGATCGGGGCAGTTCTCCGCACCGCTTCTTCTTCTGGACGCCTAGTCAAGTGGGCGTTGATGCTGACTCAGTATGCAATTAAGTACCGACCGAGGCCAGCTATAAAGGGTCAAGCTTTGGCAGATTTCTTGGTCGAGTGCACCGCTCGGGAGACACGACCCCCAGTGGTCGAGAATCCTGAGGCGGCATGGTGGTCGATGGCCACCGATGGATCGAGCAGCAAGAAAGGAGCAAGTGGGGGGGTCGTGATTACAAGCCCGGAGGGTTTCAAAGTCTACTATGCATTGATGTATCAGTTCCACCCAACCAACAATGAAGCTGAATATGAGGCCTTTGTAAATGGCCTACAGTGCGCTCGAGACTTGGGGGCTGAATACATCCGGGCTCAAACTGACTCCTCAGTAGTGGTCGGACAGGTCTTGGGTGACTACGAAGTCAATGGAGAGCGGTTACAAGCTTACCGAGATCTCGCCATGGAGAAGTTAACCTTGTTTTGAGGGTACACCGTTCATCATGTTTCCCGACTGGACAATGCCGATGCTGACATCGTATCCAAGTGGGCACAAGATGCCCCTGAACACATGTCCAGGATAGCTCGGATCCTGATGATCCCGAGGCAAAGTATACACCGATTGCCGGTCGCACTTATCCAGCAGGCCGAGGAAACTTGGATTTCGGATTTAGTGGAATATCTCCAGCACAGTCGGTTACCAGACGACCCTCAGCGCGCCCAGAAGGCCAAGTTAAGAGCACCAAGGTTTCAAGTTCAGGAAGGCCGATTGTATAGGCAGTCGTACGGAGGTCCATTGATGCGTTGTTTAACTTCATTCGAAGCGGACCTTGTGATGACGGAATTGCACTTGGGCATTTGCTCGGCATATCAAGGAGGTCGGTCACTCGCTCGACGCATTATGGTGATCGGGTACTATTGGCCATCTATTCAGCTTGATTGCGAAAAGCTTGCGAGAGGGTGCGAGACATGCCAGTTATATGCTCGGATGCCTGGACGACCGGCCACGTTCTATCAGTCAGTCACGACCGCAATTCCTTTTGCTCGTTGGGGTGTAGACATTTTGGGACTTTTCCCACAGTTAGCCGGTCGGAGACGTTTCGTCATCGTGGCTATCGATTATTTCTCCAAGTGGATCGAGGCTGAACCCTTAGCCACGATCACATCACAGCAGTGCGCCAGGTTTCTATGGCGGAATGTTATCTCCTGGTTTGGTGTGCTTGTTCATCTGATCAGTGACAACGGCCGGCAGTTCGTAAACCAGTATTTCCAGAATTTCTTAGCAACGATCGGGACAACCTCAATCCAATCGTCAATGGCTTACCCGCAAGGCAATGGACAAGTCGAGAATGCCAACCGGACCATCTTGGAGGTCTTGAAGAAGAAATTGCATTCGACCGGTCGTAGCTGGGCTAATGAGCTCCCGTACGTGCTTTGGACATACCGCACGACCCCGAGAGAAGCAACGCTAGAGACACCGTTTGCTTTAGTTTATGGGGCTGAAGCACGGTTACCGATCGAAGCATGGATCCCGACCGCCAGGGAGCGATCTTACAACGCAGAAGAGAATGAACACTCCATGGTCGTGGACCTAGACGGTGTCGAAGAGAAGAGAGAGATTACAGCTCGGCGTATGGCCGAGTACCAGAAGAGAGTCAAAAGCACGAAGGACGTCCGAGTCAATCCCTGCTATTTTCAAGTTGGAGACTATGTGTTACGACATCGAGAGGCAAGCCAACCATTAGAAGGCGGCAAATTAGCCCAAAATTGGGAAGACCCTTATGTCGTTACGACCGTCGTTCGCCCGGGCACTTACTGGCTAGAGACAACGACAGCGAGAGTACTTGAGGGCACTTGGAACTCGGAAAATCTTGTGCTATTTAGACATTGATGTAATAATGCAGCTATAGATGGAGTGGGGGCTCAACCTGTGAGTGGGCACGTCCATCGCTTTTTGCGCCTTTTTGTAAGAGTTGTAAATATTTTACCGTCTGCGTACGCGAATAAATCATGTAATATCGCTCGGTGATTGCTCGACCATTTGTATATGGCGGCCCGATCGACTTGCGCTTCATTTAAATCTTAAATAGTTTAATAGACTCTACTTCGGAAGTTGGTCTCGCTCGTGCTTCGCCTGACCGGGACTCAGCATCAACAATCGAAGAGGGGCGTAAGCCCCACGACCACAATGTCGCTTAAACTTGTTCGAATATACCGGGGTCTAAGCTCAGTTATAACTGACAAAGGTGCACACCTCTCCCTCGGTCCCGATCGATAGGGGTATAAACCTAAATTGGCTTTGAAAAGTCACTTGCATATCAGCCGGACAATTGACAACGCTCGGCTTATTACGCTCATCTTCGGCAGACACTCGGGTCACGCCATCGCTCGGGGAAATCAGAGCTTCAAAATATATACCCAATCAGCTTTACTTCTTTCCACTGTCGCACTCACTCGTGCCTCGTGAGCACGGCAGTGTGGGGGCTAGGGTGAAGGGAGTAAAGGCCAAGCGATCGGGCAAATGCCTGAACAGAAAGGCCAACAGGGAAGAAGAAGGCCAGTAGGCCAACAGGTCGGGTAAATAGGTTGGCTAAACAAACGACCAAAACCGATCGAGTAGAGTCGCAAAAGGCGCACAAAGCAAAATCAAAGCAAAATTTGATGAAACTTAATATATTTAATAAAGGAAAGTGCTGGTACAAAGCGGGACCGGGCTCCCGACTGAGTGCGCTTCATGAAAACACAAAAATAAAGTTATTACACGGTCAGCAACTACACGACCTTATCTACGCTCTTCGTAGCACCGCTGGGCTCGGCCGTGTCCTTGGGGGCAGACGGGTCGGTGAAAGGCGCCGGGCCGGGATCAGCAACCTCGTCGGGAAGAGTCGAGAGAACGGACTTCAAGTCGTCACCCTCGAAGACCTCCTCCATGATGGATCGAGTCTCCTATCGCATGGTTCGTTGACCGGACTTAAAGGCCTAGTGCCCGAACTGCCAGATTAAGTCCTCCCCGATCTTGGTCTTCATTAGTTCTTTGAAGAACTTTTCACCCGACGCTTCATCGCGGCAAAGAAACTTCGCGAGGCCCTCAAGGTTCCCCAGTCGGGCTTTGAGGTCGGACGCCTCCTTCAGGAATGCCCCAGCAGCTTTCTCGGCAATGGCTATGGGGCACTCTCGGTCGTCTTTAGCTTATCCCGAAGCTCGGTGTTTTCTTTCCCCCGCCGATCAGCGATCTTCTTCAGAGCGTCGGCCTCATTGGCCAGCAGCGCCTGACACTGAAGATGTTGGATCGCTCGGGATAGCTGCAAAAGGAAAGCGCATTAGCCCGACTGACTATAGTTGTGAAATTAAAGAAGTGATGAAGTCATACCTCGACCAAGTCCTGGCCGCTTTTCTCAGCCACCTGCCCGGGCGTGAGCTTGCTGAGATCGTCCCTGACCGGTCTAAGATTGCCGATCCGGGCGAGGATAGAGTCGTTGCCCGTTATAGCTTCGCTCGTGGGGCTGTTTTGTTTCCGCCGGCGCTTGAGTGCCCCCCTCGTCCGTGTCTGCCACGGTCGCGTTTTCCTTCTCTTTATGGCTGACGGTTCGGGCGACCAAGACATCGGTCGTTGTATCCTCGACCACGGCCCCTTCAGCCGTGGTTATTGTGGAAGCGCCCACTGGGCGAGCGGTCGGGATAGGGTTGCCCTCGGTTTCTTTATTGCCGGACGATCCGGCATCGTTATTCTTCTTCCCGAGCGTTATTTTGGCTCAAGGGGCTCAGGGTGCGCTACCCAACTGGAAGCTGCGTGGAGGACCCATCTCTGCAAATAAAACCATACGGTTAAAATAGTAAATCAAAGTTTTAATCGGGAAAAATTCTGGTCGGGAAGGTTAGATTGGTGTTAGACCTTTCTTGGTCGGTTTAGCCCGAGAAGCCGCTACCGCTATCGATACTCCCGTTGGTCGGGGTTTATACTTCTCTTCTAGGTCGTATTGGGGTGGCGGCAGTCGGGCGGCGTCATAGCTCTCCCTCGACCGGAATATCTTGTATTCATGGATCTCACTGGAGATCCGAAAGACTGCATCACGGAGGGCTTGGGTCTCGACCGGCTGGACTTGCTTTGTAAAATGCGTTCCCCACGTCCAGTCAACCGGGAGAATCCAGGGGTCATATTTGACCGAGAATATGCGGTTCTTCCATCCGCGGTTGTTCCCGGGCAGGTTGTCAATCGTACATAGGTCAGCTCGGGACTGGATTACCAAGAAGCCGCCCCCATACTTCGCCGCCAAAGGCTTAACCTGGTAGATGAAGTTGAAGAGCTCCATCAAGTATGCGACATCGTGCCGAGCGCATATCTGGGGGAAGCATGCTAGGATTCGGTGTGCGTTCGGGCATATTTGGGCGGGAAGTACCCGGTAATAGCCCAAGAACGCGGTTAAGAGGGCGGAGAAAGGGAAACTGATCGGGGCCAGCAAGGAGTCATAGTGCATCCCGATCCACTTTCCTTGTTGGCGTTCCTTAACGTTTCCTAAAAACCGTCGGGTGTCGAACTGAACCCGACCACTTAGCCTTTCGGTAATCCTCGCCGCTTCGGCGCTCGTCAGCAAGCACTCTTGCTGCTCGACGCTTTCACTGTTAAGGAAGATGAGCCCTGGTCCGACGGTCGGTGCGGTCGGCTCTTCCTCCATCTGCTCTGGTGTGGCCTCCCGATCGTTGGCAGAAGTAGAAGCCCCAGGATCAGCTCCTTTCGTCCGGGTGGGCGTTTCCCGAGCGTCCTCGACCGGGGTTCTGCGGCCACTTGTCGAGGTACCGCTGCCGCTGCTCGAGCTGTCTGAACCGCTCGACCCCGAGGAGCTCGCCGAGCTAGAGGAGCTTTGGCGCTCGGGGTTCTTGGTCGGTCGTTGAACGACCTCGACGATTTCAGGCACGGATGTCTCGATCATTGCATCATCATAGTCTGCTCCAGAGATGTTTTGGCTGTTGGAGTCTGAAATGTCCCCTTCATAAATGAGACAGTCGTTTCAGCGTTTGGGGTCGTTTATTTCGGTCGGGGTTAGTAAGTTACGGAGGTCGGTTGTTGCAAGAAAAGTGAAAGATGAGTTAAAGAGAAACAAAAGGAGGGACAAGAGGAGCTTATCGATTGACTGATGTTGTTGAGCTCGATCGATGCACAGGTTAATTCGCTCGGGATGCTCCGATTGATTCTCGCAGAGTAGTAAAAGTTCAAATGAACTTCAGAAACGCCTATTTATAGGGAAATTTGGGCGGGAAAATGGCCCACTTGCGCGACCAGACTCCGAGGCGCGCAGAAGCCAACACGTGGCACGACAAGCGACAGTTGTCCGGTTGGGATCGCAGGACGAGTGATTTGACCTTTTCATCCCGTCCCGTTTTTTCCCGAGCGGTCTAAAAGGCCCGGGCTGGGCGGGCTTTTGGTAGGGTATATCCCGACCGACCTAGCTTGGTTTCTCTCGTTCTTTGTGCAGGTTTTACAGGTCAGATATTCGTAAACGAAGACAGTCGGACCCGACCGGGGTCTATTACCCGATTATCGGCTCTTATCTTACGACGAGTCAAGGATCCCGAGAAGAGGCACGTGGCAATGTTACACGTTGACAGAGAGGGCTAGTTGGGTGAAGACGCGTGGATGCTACGTGGGTTACATGCTGGCCGGCCGGAGGTGTGTCTCCGGCCAAGCGGTTATAAATACCCACGTCGGCTACAGTGTGAGGGACTTTTGGACGATCGATAGATTATCTACAGAGCTGCCCGACCGTAGTCAGTCGGCCCTCGAGATAATCATTTGGATTGTATTAGGTCCTTCTTGATCAATAAAAGACTTTATTTGCTTTGATTTGATCGTATTAAGTACCTTGACCGCTTAACATTTGGAATTAGTACTATCATGTGTGTATATATATATATATATATATATATCTACCTATATTGTATTTTAACGTGTTGGAGTGGGTTACCAACAGTATCCGCTAAACAGATATATTTGGCTTTCAGGCACAGAAGAGTAGCTCCGGAGCGCGTTAGAGGACCAAGGCTTAGTTAGCTAGTTTCCCTTTCGGCCTGCGTGTCATGATGATGTATTGACATTGTTTTGAGTATATTTAGATAGTCTAGCCTGTGCATCTGAGTTTTCCAGCTCAGATGTGGCATAGCACCCTAAACTCTTATGTTTAGTATGCTCTGTTTTGAGATTTAAATGATAGTATTACCTTTATTTCATAGGTATTCAAGGTTTTAAATTTTAGGGGTGTTACAGTAAAAAAGGGAGGAAAGTAGCACGGAGTTGTGAAATCCGAATTGTAGTTCTACCGGAGTGTAGAAAGTGGAGGAAAGTAACGCCGAAGTTTTGAAATCCTGTAGCAGTGTTGTAGGCACTGGGTTGGGCGTGATTAGTGCGGACTTGGTGACTAGGCGACAAGTTAAAAAATACATACATACATACATATATATATATATATATATATATATATATATATATATATATATATAACTTTAATAAGAGCCAATATTGTTAGACCCTTAGCGGGAATAAAAAAAATGTCAGTACAAAAATATGCTCTAAAATATTGTACTTTAGGCTCTTCTAATTGTACAACGCCAAATATAAAACCCAATATAACCTCATTAATATTAGTTTTACCAAACTTAGAGGGTTAAACTTAACAGATTCTGTCAGCTAGAATTCGTGGTGGAAAATTTGTAGTTTAAGTGAAGTTGAATGGCATATGGAGAAGCACAAATGTTCGGTTGTCTAAGGATAACAGAGCAAACAACTTAGGGCAGCAACCGTCCGCTTGTCGTAAGGATAATCAGAGCAAAGCAGCAACACAACACAGCAAAAGCATCGTAGGAGAATCACAGCTGAACGGAAATCGTGAAATTCCGAAATTCGAACGGAGGAAATTACAGAAAGGAAAGCGGTTTTGGTCTCTTTGCGTATGGTATGCAATTACGTACAATTATGTTTTCTGTTGAAAATTTCTGGGGGGGTTTGAGTGGTTTTCCTGATGATTTTCTAATTGATATGTGATTTGTTGTGCATATAAAAGCACTTGTTAGACATTTGAATTTCAAATTTTAATTTTTTTTTTGCTGTCTGTTGTAAATTTTTGCAGTCTTATACTGAGGTATAGTAATATTATTATACTTTTTTGCTGCGTTTCATCAATTTTAGCTAATGGGTATGCTGTTATTGTTTTTTTGTTTTGATTTTGATGATTATTGAGTGTTTTCTGTGGACAGTTGTGAACTTTGATCTGTAAGGAGTAAAGTATCTGGCAAAAAATGACTTCAATTCTGATCTTAGTTGTTGTTATCTTTTCCAAATTCAAAATCAAATTGGGATTTCCATTGTGACTTTGACAGTGGTAACTCTACAAACATGAATATTAGTTTTTGCTTATTAAGCTAATGAGATATCCTTACATCTTACCCAATATATACAAAGAATATTTACAAATTCTTCGGAAAGTAACTAGACCTCCACCTATGCAGTGCGAATGGTTAAGAGAGATGAATGAGAAATTTAGTAGTGTTGGAAAGAATGGTTTGCTATTTAAAAGTATTTTCAAACAGCCCCTAGGAATATTATGAACTATTTATTGATCTCCTAACAAGGGAAGGCAACACCAACCGGCATTGGTGGCTTACCCACAATACAGTTTGTGCTAATTACTGGAGGTTATTGCTTTATATGTATGTGTGTTGTGAAGGTTTCTAGATGAAGTCAGTCTATATTTTCTGCTGATATTATTATTATTATTATTATTATTAATTATTACATATGAAAGGTGGTATATTTAATGTCTCACTATATTTACAGTTTGATGCCTTGAAAGTTGTGTAAAAGGGCTCCGAAGTTGCAACTTGGGAAGCTGAAAGTTAGTGTGTATTATGCACACCTATAATTTAATATATAAATTGTTTTTCCGTTTTGGTGTCTTTGTTCATTGTTTTTATGTGAAATCTCTAGGGCTTACAGTCGTGTAGAACTCCTTATATTTATTTGTTAGATTAGTAGAAGTATTTCCATTAATTCATTTATTCTATTGTTTAAGTTTCCAACTTTAATTTTGATAACTTAGAAGGTTTTAGTGTAGCTATTAGAGAAATTTTATTATGAATTTCAGCTTTCTGCCCAGTTTTATTTATGGTGTTTCCCAGCTTTAATTTATTAGTTTGTGTGTGCAGTGGTTCATAGTTTTTGTTGGCCAAGTTACTATGTCCTTAATGTTATTTACTCATGGTTCCTTTTTGGAGATGATGAGTTCAGGTTATATTGTGATGAATTTCTTAACGTTTTTAAATTATGTTGTTCTTACTGCTTAGCTATCCGTTAAATAATACACAGATACTGGAATTCCCCTCTTAACTTAACAGCAAACTTTATGACACTGCTATATGTACTCCCCCCTCCCCCCCCCCCCCCCCCCCCCCCCCAAATGCACATCAGAAAAGAAAAAATAATCAAGGTATTTTTATCTAATAGTTGAACGCTTACAATTGCAGCTTCATCGACCAGTGAGCATTGAGGATCTGGAATCCGCACAAATTGATTGAGATGAGACCTTGAATAACAAGTTGATTGACAAATGCTAAAGGACTCGGTCTTATGTCTTGTATGCTTAATCCATTTTAATGAAGCAAAAAGTTTCATTTGGTATCATGATTCCCAATCATGAGTAGCTACACACACCCTATTTCAGGGATATGATTGTATATAATCCCATTGTAATTCTATGGTTTAAGCGGATTCATGTCTTTAGTTTTCCATTGTTCATTTTCTTTTTTTTTTTTAATTGAAGAAATTTATAAGAGAACATATCCTTTTTCTCAAAAGAATGGAGAAATTTTCCACATAATTTACATACCATTAAATTAGTTTTTTCTCTAACTATTATAATCTGGTATTTTTTTCTTCTCTTATGCTTGTAACTGGAAGTTAAATTTAATGTTTAATTATTTAGAAGTTGAAATTTAAATTTTGTTGTAATTTCCAAATGGAGAGCTCAAGTGCTAAACGTGAAAATTAGTAATTAATTTTGTTTGAAATGATAAAACAATTTAATTGTATGCATTGTGGTGAAATGAATGCAGTGGAAACACCAGTTAGTAACAATGTTTACATACATTTATGTTTTCATTTATTTATTAGGAGGTAAGTATCAATTTAATCATTACACAAACATAATACAATAATGTTAATCTAAAAACACATAATAGGTGTATACTAGACGTGGAAATTACTGATGGAAGTGAATGCCTTGTTGCATCCATGTTTGGAAAATGTGCTGAACAACTATTACTCTTAACCAGCAAACAAGTTATGCAATTGGAACAACAGGTACTGCTCCTCTTCCAACTACAACCACTCATGTTTTATACTAAATTATTAACCTATGACTAACAACACAAGCATCTTGTAGGGTCAACAGCTACGAATTTAACATATCAATAATCGCTTACAAGATGAAGAATATATCATACAATTGAGGTCTCAATCCTATACACAACAAGGCAAAAACATGGTATCATATACCATAACATCATCGCACATGAAGCAATACAGACACAACCAGCAAAAAGGAAACTCAACTTCACTAAAGATGGAAAAGATGATGAAGACATTTCCGAGCCTAAACAAACGCGCACTAAGAAAAATTAATTTACTATGCCGAAATTACTCTTTTCATGATAGATAGTTAGCTTTAGTTAGTGGTTTCTTTGTTTTTACTTTAGTTATAATTTAGTTATTTCGAATTTCTTTATGTTTTTATTCAAATATAAGCACAAAGACTATTTCTTTATCTTTTATTAATTTCATATTCATCTCTCCCATTATTATATGAATACTTTAACCAATTAAACAACACTAATTTATAAATACACATTGGGCATTGGTATAATCTCACAAAGCGCGTGTCGTAACTAGTATATATATATATATATATATATATATATATATATATATATATATATATATATATATATGTGTGTGTGTGTGTGTGTGTGTGTGTGTGTGTGTGTGTGTGTGTGTGTGTGTGTGTGTGTATATATATATATATATATATATATATATATATATATATATATATATATATATATATGTATGTATATGTATATATATGTATATATATGTATATGTATATATATGTATATAGAATCCAGATCAGGTGAGGACCTAATCTTAGGTGAGGACGTGAGGACTAATCTTGTGCGTTTGTTTTTTTTTTATTTGGATGGTCCAGATTTGAGTTCTTGAGATGACACGGATTGATCTTTTTTGTTAAAGTGGGATAATAGTGTCTTTTTCTATTTTTTTTAAGTGTGAACGCATGTATAATCCTTGGCCAAATTGGTTTTCTATTTTCTTGGATCATCACCGTTGCAATTTGGAGCCGCGATTTCTTCATCATTGATTGAGTGTTCACCCATGCAAACTAATCAGTATTTTTTATTTTTTTTCGCTTGTTCTTTTGAGTATAATATTGTCTATATTTGGATTGTCGTGTATATGTATAAATGCCTGGGTAGTACGATTGTGCATTCGTGTGTGTTGATTGTGCAACCTAGTGTTGTAAGTTGCGCACTATAGGCTAGGGAGTTGTGCATTATAGCACATAGTTCAATGCATCGTAGAACATTGGATGTTCACTGTATGATTTTTTGGCGGAGTTTGAATGCACAACAATGAAGTTATTGATGCACAACACTCAGTATATGAATGCACAACATTTTGTATAGGAATGCACATCTTTTAATAAGACTGATTTACCCTAAATTTATATATTTTAATATTTTAAAGGGATTTGTTTTCTTAATCCGTGTGATTTGTTTCTTTTAATCTCAATCATACATCATTCTGATTTAATGGTCTAGATTAGTCCTCACGTCCTCACCTAAGATTAGGTCCTCACTTGATCCGGACCCTATGTATATATATATATATATATGGTGCGAATCCCATGAGACCCCCATATTAAATGAGATCATGAGATCACATCCCATCCATTTATACATTTGTAATGGAAGGATGAGATTGAATGAGAAATATAGTGTAAATAATGCCATATTTTAATCAGAAGGGTTAAAAAGTAATTCTATTAATATGTTAATTTTGGTTATAAATAGATTGGAATCTTTGTCATGATGAAAGATCACAAAATTAATGGAAAGTAGTAGTAATCCATTCTTGTTAGTAGGAGGTGTACCACTCAAACCGTGAACACAATGTGTTGAACCGCAAGAACAATCTAGAGGTTGGTATGTGCTGCTGTTTTGAATTTTAAATTGATTTTGAACGTCGGTTTGTGCATTGTGGACCTACGGCGTGTGCGTACGAACATTTAATGCATTTGTTATTGTGTTTTGTTGATGTATTTTGGACAATTAATATGTAACCGGAACACGAAGCAATTGGGGGGGGGGGGGGGGGTTTGTTTATGTTTTTTATTAAAAAGATGAATGCAAAAGTAGTTGGGTAATGGGTAGACTATTGGTGTGTGCGTGTGTTTAAGTTGGCGTGTGCATGTTGTAGATTAAAGGGGGTTTGAATTTGTTTGTCCTTCATTTTGTATCCAAAATTATTATTATTATAAGAGGTGTGCGTGTAATGATATTGTTAGTTCATTTTGAATGAATTAGACGATATGGGTATTATTTGGTTGGTTTGCTATGAAACGTATTTTTATAGACGCTGATGTGTGCGTGTATGTTGATAGGTTTGTGCAACGTGTTGGGATAAGGCATGAGAAAGTTTATATTGGCCCCGACGGGTTGTCTTGTAGAAAATTATTATTAGACGTGTGCATAATGTATTGTGTTTTCCGTTTTCTTTTTTTTTTTTAAATGGAAAAGAAGGTAATATGGTGCACACACCAACATTCCACTGCGCACAAACCATTGTCAACCCATGCCTGATTAAAAATATTTGCATACTGCGAGTTATAAAAAGCAAAACAGTGGATCCCTGTGATAAAATGAATGTGGAAAACCAAAGCAACCTCGTCATACTATCGCACGACAGCTTCCACTTCTTCCCACCCTTGAGTGGGCTCTTGCTGGTTCAGATCAGGGGTGGACAAAGGAATATGTCTAACTACTTATTGCTGCTGGGCCGCCACCACACAGGCATCAACTGCATTCAAAACCTTCGGGTTGGTCCATATTTCATCATCACTTTGTGTCACGCCCACACCCGCATCCACAGAGGGCCCCTCACCTGAACATCCAGATTGCTCAGGCAACAGAATGACCTTCCGAGCCCCAGCTAACAAACGCACATGAAAAAACCACCCTCCAAAATCCCCAACCAAAAAAGTATGTAGTTACACAGTAAAATGCACACGCCACAAAGCGACCACTCACAGAGTATGCTGAAACGCGACTATACACCTCGGAAATCAGGAAATAAAAAGTTATACAGTAAAGTTCACAAGCGTACATACAACTACACACAAACTAGAGTAAAAAAACACACAGTCGAATATTTTGCATTCCAAAAACAAAGATTTCTAACCAAATACAAGGAAAAATACATTATAATACTATCGTCATGCCAATAACCCCGTTACAGCACTATGCACATACTGAGGGAGGTGTACGCACACACCACGATAACCACACATTTCAGCGACAAACAAACAAACAAAAAATGCACATGTACACTAACAACCTTATGCTCTACCAAAAAACAAGTGCAGAAACCACCCTCCAAAATCCCCAACCAAATAGTATATAGTTACACAGCAAAATGGACAAGCCATAGACCGACCACGCACAGAATATGGTGAAACGTGACTATACAACTCGAACCCTAAATAATCAAAAGTTCAGTAAAATGCACAAGCTAACATACAACTACGCACAAACCATAGTCAAAAAATCACACAGTCAAATATTTTGCATTCCAAAACAAAATGAATATAAATATTTGATCTCGCAACAAAATAAATATAGAAATACGTGAAAAATCCATACTCACTCTGAGAAACAAAGATTTCTAATCAAATACGAGAAAAAAATACATTATAATACCATCGTCAAGCCAATACCCCCCCCCCCCCCATTATAGAACTATGCACATACTGAGGAAAGTGTACGCACACACCATGGAAACCTCACAGCCTCCCACCATCCCAAGCCTGCAACAACCAAAACATGCAACGCACACACTACTAGCCATTGATGCACGCACATTAATAAAAAGTTTCTATGGCAAACTCATATAGAACTGTAGGTGAGCAATCATAAAAACAAAATCATGTAAAGTTCAATAATTTGAACGCACACACTTCCCAACATTGATGCACACACATTAATTAAACAGTAAAATAACCTTGACCGGTATACACTTTACACCATTTATGTCAGATTCCAAGGGGAAAAAACAGGCAAAAAACATGAGTATAATAAAACTTTGCAGATTGGAGCTGATTATATCTATATACAGTTTGATTAAATTTTTCATATTCGTAATAAAGTCTAGTGAAGAGCTCCCATTCAAAAGATCCCTTATCCTCCTGCAAATATCCAGTGCAGTAGACATTAGAATATTCTTAAAAAAAAAAAACAAAAAACAAAAAAAAAAAACAAACTTTGTAACACACATTAAAAAAAAAAGGTAAGGGTTTGAATAAAACTCACAAGTCAACCATCAAGATCAAATTTGAAAGTGTAGATGGAATTGGACCCTGAAATGAATTTCCTTCAAACCTCCTACAGAAATACAAAATTGATGCCAATCATAAACAATGGGAAGTAGAGAAGCAGCAATGAGCATAGATTAAAATGATTTTCCATTGAATCTAGAAATCAAGTGCAATGGACTGTTTGGAATGGATAATAATCCTATTAACAATCTGACAAGGTAGTAAGCTTTGACCACTTCCCAATGAAATCAGGCATCCTCCCTGTAAGCTCAGTGTTTGAAGCCCATCTGAAAGAAACAAAATTCACCACATTGAACGCGATTACAGAATTGACCTGATTTTTTCTTTAAAAAAAATAAATAAAAACCAAGGAACAATGCAAATAAATCCCAAGAACAATGATTTTTTGCACGTGTTGAATGCATAAATTAAGAGTAACAAGAAAAATTAAAAAAAAAATTAAAACAACAGCACAACCGGCTAGCCCACAAACTGCACCTCCATCCCCCCAAGCACCGCCACGCCCACCACCCTGCCGGAAACTCCACCGGCAACCGTCCGCCGTCTCCCACCACCACCCTCGAGGCATACACATTAAATAAAAAGTCAAAATTAACTTACAATACCCTAAAAAAAAAAAAAAAAAACGGCTGCAATGCTACCGGAACTCTAAGTCCAGAAAACCCACCGCCACACCAAAAACCCCCAAAGCTGTACAGTCTACGCCCGTCTACAATTCAATATATATATATATATATATATATATATATATATATATATATATATATATATATATATATATATATATATATATATATATATATATATCACACCACCATGCAGAACCCTAAAGTACCGACCCAAAAAATTCAAAAAACAAAAAAAAAAAAAAAAAACAAAACAAAAAATGAACAAAATCAAACAAATATCGCCGGAACCGCCCCAACAACCCACGCCGGAAAACTCACACATACTTAAAAAAAAAAACGAAGAAAAAGCAAACAAACATAAGGAACCCGGAATACCTTGATGGCCCGTGGAAGCATTCCTAATGGACGAGCCATCCATGGAGTCTCCACCCACGAGAATGCAAACCCGGCACCGGAAAAACAACGTCCAGAAAGGAGATGAGCGGACGGAGGAGATAAGCGGATGGAGGAGACGAGCGGACACAGGAGGTGAGGGGACAAATAGTGAGGAGAGTATTGGATACTAGAATCAAGCAAAGGAAAGAATCCCGATAAAAATTTTGAATATATTATGTAGGTAATTAATGGGTATGACAAAATACTAAAATGCCACCACCTCTTCACATTAAATTAGCGCAGAAGCGCTAGAAAATAAAACAAATCTCATCCGTTCAAAATTAAAAATAAACGAACATGATCTAATCTCACGATCTCACCAAGGGGTCTCATTGGATCCAATATCTATATATAATTATATAATTGTATAATTATATAATTATATAATTATATATATATATATATATATATATATATATATATATATATAACTGGCAGGTAATGAGCACTGCCTTTACCAGTTTGCCCACTGCCCTGCCCCCTCTGCTAATATAAACCAAAAAGAAACAAGTGGGTAAGTGGCTGGTAAACTCTAAAGCCTCAGCCGAAAAAAAAAAAAAAAAAAAAAAAAAAACTCTTAGCACCAAAGAAAGTGGAGAAGCAAGAAGACCGATGAAGATTCATGAGTCACGACGGTGAGAGGGTGACGGCGGTGGGAAGATGACGGCAGTGGGAGGGCAATGGGTTTCTTCTTCTCTGTGAGTCCGAGAGAATTCGACGGCTGGAACTGGATGCAAATCTGAAATGCTTTTCTTTCTTCTCTATTCTTATTAGGTTTTAGACATACCATTTATTTTAAAAAATAAAAAATAAAAATAGATCGGGTATTCCAGTTTTGACGCCAGGTCAGCATCCAAAGGCATCGCCTGGGATGCCTTGGCGATGCCGGAGCTCGCCTCACCATTTCCAAGCGTCCTGTCTCCACCGGCAGGACGCCAAGGCGTCGTCGTCTAGGCGACGCCGTGATAACTATGCCTACAAGAAGAAAAAAACCATGATGGCAACCCCCCATGACACCAATGTTTTTCAGTGGTATAAACTGTATAACTATCTGGGATATATAAGTGGAAAGCTAGAAGATACAACTCACGATGACTTTAAAACCCCTTTTCTTCTGTACCTTTTTAGATCACTGGGAACAATTGATATGGTATCTATACAAAGCCCACCTTTTGAATGTGTGCAATCAATCTGTTTCATTGAAAACCGAACCTCAGTTTAAGGATCTGATTGACCCACAATAAACTCTCCCACCTTATACTCTATCCAGTACCCACATTATACTGCACGCCATCTTCTAGAAACGACTCACTTGATGCATATTGTCCATCTGAAGTAGACATCTCGATTTTCACCAGTTTTATATCCCAACCATGAGTATGTTCAAAACTGCAAACACGTCGTCCCAACCTCTTGGTGAATCCTGAATAATAGGGTATAGATATCTGGAGGAAAAGGAAACTTCAGCACACCACTCACTTCAAACCACCAAATCTGCTGCAAATAGGCCACAACTTCATATTTGACCTAGCATACATGATGTTGACTATTGTATAAGTTCAACTACTACACGTAAGGGTATTTTAGTCATATACCAGTCATGAATCCATTTCTGTATATGCCAGAGGAAAAGAAATTAAAAACTCATTCCTCTTTACTTTTGAAATATACCAAACGTAAAACTGTAAATTAAAAGTCCTATTGTAACATAAAGAATCAATAACGCCTCTACTACTGGAGCTTGAACTTACAACCTTCCAAATGGAAGTCCAACCTGGGTACCATTAGACCACATTGTCTTGGTTAAATTAAAAGTTAATATTACTAATGTTGCTAACATTTTCAATCCTTCATATCAAATGCAATAAAGGGATAAAAATACAAGTCAGGATCTCCTTAGACAATATTAAATGAATTAAGGATAAGTGAAATAATAGGATAACTGCATTGAGTAACAAAAAACTTTATGATGGCTGGGGGCATATTTTACAATTTATGTCCACAAGTCTGACAAGTCTGCCATTTAGGATCTGGTTGTGGCCAAGTATAGAGTAATCTGGCCACTTAACATACAATCACCATGGATGTTGAAATAATGATAGACATAGACTGACTATATGGGCTATATGTTTTGAGAGAGAATTGGGATAATAAAAAAGGGATATCTGAACATTGGACACCCAAGTTTCATAAGGCTCCTAAATCCTAAAGAATTTCAGTCCTTGCCGAAAAGGAAAGAAAACAATTGATGACCAAATAGCTGGTCACGTGTCAAGGGAATATGGGGGTCTACAGTATTAGCATTGCAGTGACCAAACATATAATATCAATAAATTCTTCGGACCAGATAGTCTTCCACGAGCATGCAGGGTGGACTATGAGAAGGAAAGAAACATCTCAAAACTAACTTTTCTCATATGTTGCATAAATAGATAGCTGTTACACATATTACCACTAATGTAATAAGCCATCTACTGCCATACAGAATATCAAATGTAATTTACACAATCATTTTGTGGAAATATTAGAATTGATATCTGAAAATATTAGATTGATATGCATATATTTTTAGGATCTGTAATTAGTGATGTAAATTTGATTCTTTCCTAGTTTAGTGATCCTTTTATTTACTTTCCCTGATTATAGGATTCTCTTCCATATAATCAATCTTCTTCTTTGTATAAATTAGGGCTTGTATTTTTCAAATGAATTAGAAAAACTATTCAGGATTTCTTACATGGTATCAGAGCCTGACTCTAAACCCTAGGTTCTTCTCTATCATCCCTCACCAAATCTCTCCAGCAACTATGGCTTCAACCTCTAAAACATCACCCAATGAAGTCAGTCCTTCCTCACAAATTCAACTTGAGGAGAAGCTTTTTGGGCAGATATCTGTTGCACAACAGTCAATCCCACATTTTGCTAAAGCACATGTTAGTATTATGAGTCATAAAGGTACCACTTCTCACGCATTTGCTGCAAATTCCAATAACACATGTCCTTGGATTGTGGATTCCGGGGCATCCGACCATATGTCAGGTGATTTAAAGGTTTTCCATACATTCAAACCTTGTACCAATCCCACCACGATCAGAATTGCCGATGGATCCCTCTCTAACGTGATAGGAACAGGATCTGTCAAATTAACTGATGAACTCTTTCTTTGATCTGTTCTCTTTGTTCCTAAATTAAGTTGCAACCTTCTTTCCATCAGTAAACTCACTAGAGACATGAATTGTGTAACTAAATTTTATCCTAAGCTTTGTGAATTTCAGGTTGTGGGCTCGGAGAAGGTGATTGGCAGTGCTGAAGTTTGCGGTGGTCTCTATATTCTCAAAAACACTCCTAAAAATAAACAAGTCCCCAGGTCAAATTATGGTTTCAATTCTGTTTCTGTCTCCAATGAGAGTCTAGTCATGTTGTGGCATTTTCGCCTTGGACATCCAAATTTTGTTTATCTTTGATATGAATCTAGTCCAAGATTCAAATAAGATGAGTATTGTCCCAAGAATTGCTCTCAATGTAAAGATAGAGATGGATCAAAATACCTTAAACCTCACGAGAAACCCTTTGTCTCGAATCCTCAAAGACTTGGAAGAATCCCATGTAGCTTCAAGTACCTCGATGTTGCAATCTTCAATCAACTAGAGTCGGATCTAGTTTCCTTCGATTCAAGAACGAGTCCACGAACCTAAATCTAAGGTTGAAGAAAGTAAGATTGATTCGAGTCCACGAATCAATTTGCTAGTCGAGTCCACGACTAGCCACTAATTGAGTCCACAATTAGCCATAAGGTTTCTTACACAAGTGTAAAGAAAAACTTAAGAATTTTATTGAATTAAAGCCTGTCTAAAACTGATATGGATGTGCCCTATTTATAGGTATAGGGCAGCATTGTAATCTAAATACAATGGGAAAAAGAGTCCTAAACCTAATCTAGAAAACAAGTAAATAGAGTTTTATTTAGAATAGGATTTAAGGAATCCTTTCTAAATACAACTAGTGTTTTCTCTTTTATGCCAAACAATTTAAATTAATGATGACCAAAAATAATAGGGCTGATTTGGGCCTAATTTAATCACCAAAATTAGCACTTAAACAATTATAAAAAAGCCTTGAGTTATTCTTCATATTTTGCAAATGGGCTTGACTTGGATTTCCACCATCTTTGAACATCACCAATGAAGAGTTGCCTTAATTGTTTGGACTTGGGCCTTGTGATTGGCCCAATTAGTATTCTTAATGGATCTTCATATGTTGGGCCGCATCATCCTCCCCTTCTTGAAAATGATTCGACCTCGAATCTTGTAAGCATTGTCTTCGATCCATGATATCACTTGAAATTGGCCACTATAATATTTTCCTCTATCGAATGGACTTATTATTGGTCTTTGTTGTTTCTTCCACCAATGATGTTTTAAGGTCGTCGTTATGGGCCTTGTGATGAGCCCACTATTTACCCTTTCTGGATTCCATGTGTACTGGTTCCTATTATTCTCCCATTCTTGAAAAGGATTCGTCCTCGAATCCAAATCTTCAGTGAAAGACAAAGTAGCAAGCTCACTTTCTGTTTTATCACGCTCATGGAACTTTTTCTTGGGATGCTTGACATGAGTCGCTCCAATCATCATCCTACAATCAACAAGTAAGGCAATTAAGTCTAATGACACATCAGGGAATTTAAACATTCTGGATGGTAATAATTCAACAAAATGAGACATATTAAATTTATGCATCTTGTTTGAATTGCCAATAAGCACAAAATCTTTCCGCCTAGAGCTTAAGGCTAAACCAAACATAAAATCCATGAAAATATCAAGTAATGATTTAGATGCATTGTGGTGGTAAGTAGCACAATTATGAACATAAGATTCTACATCTTTTTTCTTCTTTGGCCAATGAAAATATCCATGCAAAACATCATCACTCTTTGGAAAATCAAATTGTCCCTTATGTGAATCAATAATTAAATCATTGCTCAAATCCAAGCAAAAAGTGTCAATCCCATTGACTTTGAACGAAAACCCCTTGAGCAAGTAGTATTTCACATAAGAAGTTTTCAAATGTGCCTTATAACTTCCCAGTGATTCCTTATCTCTATCAAATAAAGTTTTAGTAAAATCAAAATTAAGGAATCTCGGATGTATGGGCGCAAACAAATTTCTAACACATCTAGCAAGGAGCTCATTAATAGAAACATGACAAACAAATCTAGAGAATTTTAATGCATGCTTTTGAAATAAAAATGAGTAAATAGTTACTCCCCTTCTTTTCTCTTGCTTAATATCCTTTGTAGTTACCAAGAGAGGTTGCACTTTGACACCTTGGGCTGGTCCTTTCCACTGTATCACTGATTGTGGTCCCTTTGTTTGGCTACAAACCGAAATAGAATATTGGAGTGGTGATTGCAATTCCAAACATGGAGGTTCCAATTTTCTCTCTTTGATTTCTTCCTTTGATGCTGGTTTGAGAGCTTGCATCAATGTCAATTGAATTTCTTCTACTTGTTTAAGATACAAACGAGGCAAGACATATGTAACTCCATTCATGTGAAACACATAAGTGTTCCTCATTCCATCATAACTTATTTTTCTGTCAAATTGCGATGGTCTACCTAACAATATATGAGTAGCCTGCATTGGGATATTATCACACAAGATTTCATCAGAGTAACTGTTAATAGATAAAGGAATAAGATCTTGTTTGGTTACTCTAGCTTCTCCTGCATCAGTTAACCATTGCAAACAATAAGCATTTGGATGATTAAGCAAAGGTAACTGGAGAAATTTACCCATAACTGCACTAGCCATATTTGTGCAACTTCTAGAATCTATTACCAAAGCAAAAGCATTCTCTCTAATTGACCCTTTAGTACAAAATATATTTTCTCTTTGAGACTCATCTTCTTTTAAAGGGTGAACATTCAAAACCTCCTTAACAACAACAGTATGACTAGACTCACTAGCAACATATTTAGAATCAGAATCTAAAGGTATGAATGGTTCTCCCTCAACATGTTCATTGAGAGTTTCAAAATGGTCACATACCTCATCCTTAGACTTATATTCAAGACAAGAAGCAAAATTTTCAGATTGTTTTGTTATCTTAACTACCCTATTGTTAGGGCAATCACGAGCTATGTGGCCTCTCCCATTACATCTATAACAAATCAATTCTCTATCATGTTGAGGCGTCACTGCCTCACTTACCATTTCCTTACCGTTGTCTCGTGAATCATCTCGTGGAGGAGGATTTTCACCAAAATCAGCACTTAAACAATTACAAAAAGCCTTGAAATCTTCTTCATCTTTTGCAAATGGGCTTGACTTGGATTTCCACCATCTTTGAATATCACCAATGAAGAGTTGTCTTAATCGTTTGGACTTGAGCCTTGTGATTGGCCCAATTGGTACTCTTGATGGATCTTTATTATGTTGGGCCGCATCATCCTCACCTTCTTGAAAATCATTCGACCTCGAATCTTGTAAGCATTGTCTTCGATCCATGATATCACTTGAAATGGGCCACTATAATACTTTCCTCTATCGAATGGAATTATTATTGGACTTTCTTGTTTCTTCCACCAATGATTCTTTAAGGATGTAGTTATGGGCCTTGTGATGAGCCCACTATAGACCCTTATTGGATTCCATGTGTACTGGTTCTTATTATTCTCCCCTTCTTGAAAAGGATTCGTCCTCGAATCCAAATCTTCCATGAAAGACAAAGTAGGAAGCTCACTTTCTGTTTTATCACGCTCATGGAACTCATTGAACTTCTTCTTGGGATGCTTGACACGAGTTGCTCCAATCTTCATCCTACAATAAACAAGTAAGGCGATTAAGTCTAATGACACAGCATGGAATTTAAACGGTCTGAATGGTAATAGTTCAACAAAATTAGACATATTAAATTTAGCCATTTTGTTTGAATTATCAACAAGCACAACATCTTTCCTCCTAGAGCTTAAGGCTAAACCAAACACAAAATCCATGGAAATATCAAGTAATGATTTAGATGCATTGTGGTGGTAAGTAGCACAATTATGAACATAAGATTCTACATCTTTTTTCTTCTTTGGCCAATGAAAATATCCATGCAAAACATCATCATTCTTTGGAAAACCAAATTGTCCCTTATGTGAATCAATAATTAAACCATTGCTCAAATCCAAGCAAAAAGTGTCAATCCCATTGACTTTGAACCAAAACTCCTTGAGCAAGTAGTATTTGTCATAAGAAGTTTTCAAATGTGCCTTATAACTTTCCAGTGATTCCTTATCTCTATCAAATAAAGTTTTAGTAAAATCAAAGTTAAGGAATCTCGGATGTATGGATGCAAACAAATTTCTAACACATCTAGCAAGTAGATCATTAATAGAAACATGGCAAACAAATCTAGAGAATTTTAATGCATGCTTTTGAAATAAAAGTGAGTAAATAGTTACTCCCCTTCTTTTCTCTTGCTTAATATCCTTTGTAGTGACCAAGAGAGGTTGCACTTTGACACCTTGGGCTGGTCCTTTCCACTGTATCACTGATTGTGGTCCCTTTGTTTGGCTACAAACTGAGTTAGAGGATTGGAGTGGTGATTGCAATTCCAAACATGGAGGTTCCACTTTTCTCTCTTTGATTTCTTCCTTTGATGCTGGTTTGAGAGCTTGCATCAATGTCAATTGAATTTCTTCTACTTGTTTAAGATACAAACGAGGCAAGACATATGTAACTCCATTCATGTGAAACACATAAGTGTTCCTCATTCCATCATAACTTATTTTTCTGTCAAATTGTCATGGTCTACCTAACAAGATATGAGCATCCTGCATTGGGATATTATCACACAAGATTTCATCAGAATAACTGTTAATAGATAAAGGAATAAGAGCCTGTTTGGTTACTCTAGCTTCTCCTACATCAGTTAACCATTGCAAACAATAAGGATTTAGATGATTAAGCAAAGGTAACTGAAGAAATTTAACCATAGTTGCACTAGCCACATTTGTGCAACTTCTAGAATCTATTACCATAGCACACACATTCTCTCTAATTGACCCTTTAGCACAAAATATATTTTCTCTTTGAGACTGATCTTCTTTTAAAGGGTGAACATTCAAAACCTCCTTAACAACAACAATATGACTAGACTCACTATCAACATATTTAGAATCAGAATCTAAAGGTATGGATGGTTCTCTCTCAACATGTTCATTGGGGGTTTCAAAATGGTCACAAACCTCATCCTCAGATTTATATTCAAGACAAGAAGTAAAATTTTCAGATTGTGTTGTTATCTTAACTACCCTCTTGTTAGGGCAATCACGAGCTATGTGGCCTCTCCCATTACATCTATAACAAATCAATTCTCTATCATGTTGAGGCCTTACTGCCTCACTTACCTTTTCCTTACCTTTGTCTCGTGAATCATCTCTTGGAGGAGGATGTTCATCACGCCTTTGAGGGGTG